CCTTGTATATAGCTCAGCCAAATGGGGTTTCCATTAAGCTTTGTCAAAGCATGAGGGCAAAGGAATGTTCTCAGACAAGCAGAGTTTAGTTCAAAGCGTYAGTGGAGCCTGGCACAGGTGCTGAAGCCGATATGGGAGTATGATGGACAGGAGGAGGATGAGGCTTTTGTTTCGTGCAGAGCAGGGGTRCCATGGGAAGCAGTGGCCTGGGAGGCTCTGGGGGCAGTGAGCCTGAGCCAGAGCAGGCTCCTGGAGCAGCCTGCAGGAACTGTGTGCAAGGCAGCTCAGCCCTGCAGCCACACTGCCCCTGCTGTGCCTCCTGCTAAAAGGGGCTGCAGAGATAAGGCACCTGTGAATATTAAATCACCTCTTCCTCCTTCCCCAAGGTTGTCTAGGATCTTSCTGTTATCAGTCACTGAATTCCCAGGAGTGTGTCAGGAGCTGCCCCTGCAGCTGAGTGTGCAGCACTGTTCAGACCTGTGGGGTCACCATGGGGACCATGGTTCACTCCTGCCTTGTGTCACAGCAACCTGAGCTTTGCCCTTTGTCCTGCTCTACAAGGCTTCCTCTCCTCTAAAGCACTGTAAAATTACAAGTTTCTTCTGCAAGATGATCTTTAGAAATAGAGGAGTTCAGAGGAAGTAGCTACAGCTGTGATTGGAAAAAAAACTAATTTAACCCCCCTCTTTACATCTCATTAGCAATTCAGCCAGGAGGCTCATGGAGCAGTGCCTGGTGTAGTACAAAGCATCTCTCCACTCCTGGGGCACAGGTTTGCTTTGCTGTGTATTTTCTGTGGTACAGCTCAAGTTATTTATTGTGGAACATTGCTTCCTTAGGACTCTTCCCCCTAAATCTAACTCTGCCTTTATCTGAAAAATCTGTTCTAATGCAGATGCAGGATTTCAGCACATCATAAAAAAAAAAAAAAAACCAAAGTGAAGGCCACTTCTGTTAAAACAATTTCTGAAAAGCAGTGACTTTTCTACTATTCTTTTGTACCCACACTCCTAGATTTTTCTTGTTACCAGCTTTTATAGAAAGAATTCTGTAGCATATTAACATACTTCCCTCATTAAGCACATAATGAGCTACAACTCTGACTGCATTTTTAATTGCTTTCCTAAATGACTGAGGGAGGCAGAACCTTCCATCAAAATTTAACTCCCAATGTGATGTTACAATAATTACTTTATTAGATTGGTTCATTGCTTTTATTTGTGTATTTCTTCTCCTTATTAGGTTGGAGGAATTAAAGACAAAGTGCTGGCAGCACACCGTGCTGGACTGAAGAGAATTATCATTCCTCAAAGAAATGAGAAAGATCTGGAAGAAATCGCAGTGCACGTGCGGCAGGATCTGACCTTCGTGCTGGCCGGGTGCCTGGACGAGGTGCTGAATGCAGCCTTCGATGGGGGCTTTGCAGTTAAGGGCAGGCTCGAGCATTTGAATAGTAAACTTTAGGCACACAGGCTGGGTTACCTCTCTCGTCAAATTCCATAGTTCTTGATCTCTTTCAGCTGCATTTAGGTATCAGGTACAACTATGAGCCAAACAGGATTGTTCAGATGGGGGTGTCAGTGCCATCAAAAGGAAGGTGTTGCTGCAGCAGTTAGAACCTGAAACTGCCTTTTACATTTGCTGCTTTTTATCAATGAAGAACCTTGAATCTTTCCTGGTAGATTCAAGCGTGAGAGAATTCCTTAGCCTGTCTGGCACCTGTGTATACACATGACAGCAGCTGCTGACATCCTTAAAGAGGGAATAAGGTGCAGCAGGAGAGGCTCATAGCTGGGGTTGTTGCAAAAAGCAAACTGATTTAGTGCAAGCTTATTTATTTACAAAGTATCTGTGATAATAATGAATAATAATGTGCTAAAGAGCAGCAGTATCGGGGGACAATAAGGTTTTTGAAATCTAAACAAATATGCTTAAGGAATCTGARGAGAAGCATTATAGTCTAAATGAAGTTGTTAAGTTCTTAAAGCACTTGATTCTAGTTTGTAGCAAGACCACTGCAGACACCATTTTTCAAACCCAGGAAGCAATGCCASAAGAACTGAAATGAAGGAATTGTTGTGTAAGGGAGAGAACCTATTTGAGTTCATCTGCAAGCTGTCCCTGCAGCAGCAGGGGGGAGAGGGAGCACACTTGAAGCCTTAATGAAAAAACCCAGTAATGTACTCTGTCCCTCCAAAACATGTCCTTCATTCTTACCCACTGCAAACTGACTTGATTCTGGGCTGCCTATGCTTGGAGGCTCACCTATAGAAACTAAATCCACTGAAATAATGCCGAGAAAATTCTGAATCATTATTCACTGTGAGTAATGTAAGGTTCAAGAATTCTGGCAGCCTCCCTGTTCATTGATAGCTTTGTCTCTTATCTCCCCTTGAACCCCAGAGAGAATTGCACTTCGTGTGATCCAGGCCTTTGGCATTGTGTATTCCAGGGTCAGCCCCACGAGCAAATCCTGGGTGTTTTTACATCCTTCTCTTATTCACTGGTTCTGAAACAAACTCCAAAGTGCTTATGAAACACAAACTGTACAACAGCCTGATCTAGAAGCTGCCTGTAAATCAACAGTAAAAGTTGGCTTTGCTTTCGTTTCCATTGATAACAAAACTGATTTGCCTGGAATGTAACAGCACTATTAGTAATGAATTCAGTGGGAATTTCAACACCTGTTTTACAAAAGGTTTTACAACTTTGACAAAAGACTTAATCTAATAAAATGATAAAAGCTGCTTCTGTGTCAGTATTTTTGAAGAGCTCTCTTGTCATTCACAAGCCAAGTTTCAAGACTATGGACAATACCCCCAGTCTCCAAATGTGTTCTGCCTCATGAGAAACATGCAGGGCAAAACTTCCCCCTGGGTACAACCCCATCCTAGTAACTCTGTGCTGCTGTTTTGATCAGACCAGGAGGAAAAATCCTTTACCAAAGAGATCAAGAAACAATCCTGCACTGCYCTGCAATGTGAGAGCACTGACATGCTTGGAATTCCAGCACTGTCTGTTTACATATGGACAAAACAAATCTGCTTTTTTTTGAAGAGAGTAAGGACTATTAAAMGTTTCCACCACAGCAAAACAGGAAGCTGCTCCACAGAAAAGTTAAAGGATGAACTTTCTGACACATCACCCCAATTTCTAAGTCTTGTCCTCACAGACTCCATGTGAAGGTGAGGGGTTTAATRCCACTCTGAAGAGAATGCCAGGCATTCACCGCCAGCTTTTTCTGTCCCTGCTAACAGAGGGGAGGAGCTTGTTACTTTGTTGAGTTTTTTTTTAAACAAAACATAAGCATGACYCAGTACACCACACTACAGCCCCACTTTGGTGCCTTTTGCTTTGCTTTCACTGAACAAAATAACCCCATGCAGCAGTGAGCCAGAGCAGTACWGAACTTCTGAACTCATGTCAATACACTGGGGATCATCTGCTTAGGAACAGTTACAGGGGCCTGGTAATTAAACTTGTGTCCCTCAAAAATACCTCCAGATTGGTAAAGCTTATCAAGGGTAAAAACAAAGCAGTGGTAGCTCCTTTCTTTATCCACACTATAAACTGCTACAGATAGCGAGAYAGTTCCTAGTGCAATTCCTGCTTTAATCATAGCAGCTTGGAAAACATCCTGGATAAAACAACAGGACAGGCAGCAATACAAAACCATTCACCTGCTTTAATTTTAAGCACTACTGCAAACAAGAACTAGCAGAAACTGTCACAACATAACCAAAATATTTACATCCACATTTGTCAAACATTTTAAGGCTTTTTTTTAAAGGGCAATGAGAAACCACGGAGGTAGTGCTAGCAGACAAATGCAAGATCTACTGCATTTCATCTTTTAGACACAATTTGAATACTCCTTCCCAATACAGCAAAGCAAAACAGCACTTTCTAAAATAAATAGTTAATGTTTAGACAATGCCAGGCTTTAATACACCATTTATTTTAGATAAGGTAGTAAACTGTACAGATTTCTAGTATGGTTTATTTCTTCACATATAACAGTGTAGTTGACTTACCAGATCCTGACATTCTTTAGAGATCCACTGAATTAGGCTCCTAACACTTTTGAGGATCTGGGCCTAAGGGTAATTTCACAATTCCATCTGATGATGGATATCAAAAGTTTTATACAGATTATTTAACACCAAATGGAGCAATACTAGTTTACATTACAACAAGTCAGCATACAGTAGTTATGCTACAGCCTTATCCTCTGTAAAACATGAACCAACCTGTCTGAGACACCAGGCAGCTTCTAAAGCTCTGTGCAAAGGCCATTCCTGAAGGCCCTTCCAGGGTACAGCCCTGCCCTTCAGCCCACTGCAGCCTCAATCAAATCCCCGCGGCTCAGCACAAGGGTTCAAGGGGACAGTTCTGGGGCCACARCCCAGGCTGAGCCCTCTTGAACACAAGAAGCAGCAGTGACCAGCCCTACACAGCCCTGGCCTCTCAGGGCGCGGTCAGAGGCTCCACTCAGGGTCTCCATTTCCTAACAAAGCCACAGCTGGAATGGCTCACCCAGGCAGGAGGGCAGCAACCCAGGCACCAGCGAGCAAGAGACACGTGGACTCCTCTAAAAAAAGGACTGAGCCAACTTTCCCTCAAAGACCAGAAGACAAACTGGAGGTAAATGTAAACAAGCTTAATTAGGTGAGAATAATTACTGAATTTAGAAAACTGCAAACAGCTGGCTGTCTATTCAAAAGGAAAAAAAAAATGCTAGATTGCAGTTTTTGAAGCATTTATCTACTGTCACGAAGTACCAGTACATCTTTTAAATTACATCTGTGCACAGTCTAAGTATCAAATTTTAAGAGTGAAACTTTTACTACAGGAAGCCAACTATTTCTGTAGTATTTATTAATCCAACCCAATRGATTTTATGTTCCTTACCTGTAGAACTACTTACCTCATCATGCATCAAAAATAAGAACAAGAGTTGCCTTAACAGATCAACGTCTGATAAGAAAGCTAAGACAGTGCACAGTAAATAAACTGTATTTTAATGTGTTACAAAAGTAGTTAATAGCCAGACCAGCTCCCCGACACATCCGCTACCACTCGCTTTGACAAAGAACTCCTTCCAATAGCTYGAGATGGAACAGCTTTTCCTCTGCTCTTGTCTGTTTTGTAACACAAATCCCATTTACATTCGTGGTTCAGGTYTGCACATACAGGCAGTCTACATAAAGCCCAGTATCCTTCCAAAGGCTTTAGGGCTGGTCAGTCACACCTGGAAGAGATTTATCTGCATTGTCATGTGGATCATGTCACCGAAATGATATACAAAAGTCAGTTCCAGACAGTTACTTTAGTAACAACCGAAAGACATGAAGACAAGAAACTGAGCAAGAGCATCAATGTGTCAAACTTTGAGCTAAAGCAAAAAGCAAAAGTTGGCTGTGTTTTTCTCATTTGCCAGGTAATCTTTTAATGACAAATATAAAAAAACTGAAAACATCTCACTTTGACTGCCTTTTTTTTTTAAACAAATGGTCTGCTTTTATAATCATAAATACTGTGTAACACAATACTTTCTTTGTACTGCAAACCAACCAATACAAAGATGCAATCAAATTTCTAAGCATCTCTAAATTTGAAATGTGAATTTTTTTTAATTYGGAAAGTTCTTAATTGTTCATTTTTGTTAGAAGATAACTCAAAGTACAACAACATCTAGACCTGTTTTTAAAGGAGCTGTCTTTCCTGACACATCTTTGAACATAAGCACTCCTTTCGAGTTCAGTACATTCACAAATAGCTCAATTAAGAACAGTATCACCAATGAATTGACTACTGGAAAGAGACAAAATTTACCAAACATACAGAAATATAAGTTTTACCATAGCAATTATGCATATCAAAAGATGACACCTGTAATTAATTTTAAAAAGATACAAAAAAGAGAAAAACCTGAATTACAGAAAAGAAAGTCATATTTATTTAATGAAAAACTAGAAGTTAATAAAAATTAGCAAATACACAAAAAATATACACAAACAGCAGCAATACTATGTAGTGACTTACAAAGGGGGGGTGGGGAGGAGGAGGGGAAGCAGCGGCCAGAGACCAGACCGCTCAACATGGCTTGTCAGTCAAAGGGGGAGGAAAAAAACACAAACAAAAACACGAAACAGTATCCTTTTCAACAGTACAATCAATCTACAAACAAGTTTTTAGAATTATTTTACAACATTTCCTGTAGAATCAATTCTTAATACAAAAGATGCCCATTTTGGGTGTATATATATTTTCAGTGGTTTACTGTTGACTTATTTTAAATATATTAGTTACTACATGCAACTGCTTCCTGTAATTTAACAGCCTTTCCTTTTATTTACCTTCATTTATGTCTACCCTCCATCTACCAAATAATTTGTCTGACAGTCAAAGATGGTTACCCTATTTCTGCTAAATTAAATGCAACGGTTTTAAACACTGGCCTGAAGAGGTTTGATTGCCATTTCAACACATGGATATAGTTACGTTGATGCCTAAATTGCCATTTTCTGCAAAGAGCTGTGCAATGCTGGTGTCAAAGACTAGACAGTCACTATTCATAATGGCTGTTGCAATTCCCTCATGAATGGATCGAGGAGTTGCTTCCCAAGTCAATCGCCGCCTATGCCCGTTTAGCTCGAGTCGATAAGCAAAGTTTTCTGCCTGCTTGCGTGTTCCTATCAGCTGTACAATTGCAAAGAACTGCTGGTGACCATCGTATTTTTCCTGTTTCTCCAACACTAGCATGAAATGAAAGCCAAAACAAGACTGCATCATAACCCAGTCAACAGCACCAGGAAGATTAATGTCCGTGGCCAGGAACACTATATCCTCTCCCTGCAGCGTTGTGATTGACTTATGCTGATGCATCAGGTGTGGCATTACAGCATCCAGAGAGCCTTGCCATTTACACGAAGCACCGGGACAGGGACAGGAGTAAGGCCTAAACTCACACAGCTCCTCATGGTCTGCTTTTTCCGTGTGTGGCAAAGTTATCTCRCAGCCGGAAGAGGCGTATTTACACGGGAATAGTACGGAATTGGCAACTTTCTCCATAGCCAGGTTCCGGATGGAGCCCAGCGGGCCTCGGCAAGTGGGGCAGCACGTGAGTTTGGGGCGACAGTTGCTGCAGACCAGATGGCCACTCTGACACTGCAGGATTGGTGGCAGCACATAGTCAAAGCACACAGGGCACTCGAAGAGACTGGCCAAGTCATTGTTGGAAGCTGTGGTGCCCGTCAGCGCGGGCACCCTCTGCGATGGCGTGCACTTGGAAGTACCTGTGGGTAGTGCTGTAGCAGTCTGACGGCTCATTTCTGCAACAGAACAGAGACAAAACAGTTCAGATCAGCCACATTTCATTGCCTCTRCACACAGCATTTCTAGACTTACAAAAAAGCTCCAAGAGAAAACAGATACAAACAAAAGTGAGAAGCTCCCCATGGAATAAAAACTGCACATATATTATGTGGAGAACAGTTKTACAGTACAGACACTTGCATGACATGGAAACTGAACAAGTGAAGAAGTTCTACTGATTGTTTTGAAGTGGAATTTACCTATTGGAAGCTGCAAGGGAGAGGAGTAAAGACGTGCTTAAGTGAGTTTGTTGGTGGTGGTTTGCTTTTTTAAATACTGCATTAATGAAATGCTTCACACCTAAATCACTTATGTGTATCAACGTTGTATGGAAAAATTCTAAGCTGCTGCATATAAGGTATTAGCCTTTTTTAAATTAAAGAAACTATCTTCTGGATATAAACTTCTCAGTAATCATGTTTATGGTGTGATTTTTTTTTTTAAGGTGAAAAACTGTAGTAAGAAAAACCACAGCTCAGTTACTACCTTGCTTTTCYCCCAGAACAGAACAGTGACTCTTCATTTTCCTTACTTGGCTACTGAGGCTCACAGATTGTAAAGCACATCCACTGCTTCAGCTTCCTGAACTAAACCATTTGTGAGAATACCAGAAAAAACTCCAAAGCAATTATTTAATTTCCCAAATAACACTAAAATTCAAAATTCACTTGTTAAATTTGAGAATTAATTTTACAATGTAAGTACTCAGACATCTACAGTCCCTTTTTACAGCCCTCTTGATGAAGTTTTATGTTCAGWGGAGCTCCCATTATGTCCTTTCTAATGTGCCCAGACAAAGGTGACAGCTGTCTGACCAAACAGCTTGCTCAAGCCATTCCACAGATGTGGAGCAAGTACCATGTTTCTTAACATGTTATGTTCTCCTGCACTCCTCCTTCTTGTGCAAAAGGATTTGCTAGCATTATCCAAAAAAAAATAACATAGCTTTGGAAAAAAGAAACCATACCTTTGGTTTGATTTAAAGGACAGTCAAATAAAATGCTATCCAAAATTGGCTTCTGTTGCACAGTACGATTCGCAGCCACCCTAAGTGCCTCTCTGCGAGTACAACCAGCTCTGGATCTGTCACGTACGTACAAAGCTCTCAAAATAAACCTCATCTTTAATCTCCTTGCTATTTGACATGGGAATATTAGGCAATAGGCAAGCTTCCCATATTTAGCATCATTTCACCCACAAACTTACTCATACTTGGACCAGACAGCCCAGAGCAGCATACTGGGCATGCTTTTGCAAGACATGCACTGTTCAGGACACAAGCAGAGGAACTAAGAGATTCCAACTCRCAAAATGACTTAGTCCTTGACATTCAAAAAGTAATGACAGTCAAGASAAATCCAAATTCCTCTACAGGTGCATCTCTGCCCAGAGTAACAAAAACGTGAGTGTGTAAGATTCAATATTCAGTCACTGATTTTAKGAGTCTCAAAAMCCCACTCACAGCATCTTCTCAAGCCACCAAGCTCTCTTTCTCTATTTCAGGCTTGGTGGTCTAGAAATACCCAATTCCCATCCTTGGGAAAAAACCTCATGCAGTGGTTTTCAGTGCTGGGCCRTAACTGATACKGTAGAGATATGACAAGAATGTCTGTGTCTTTTGGCTGTATCTTCCCACTGTGAGCCATTCCAGCTTRGATGAGTAGTTTCGGATGTGTGTGACAAATCAAGCATGTGTCCTGGGGAAGTGATGCTGCACCAGGGAGGGGATTCGAGCAGCAAGGTCTCTGCCAGCTGCACTGCCCTGTGTCCCCAGCAGCCACAGGTGGAGGGCTCCTGAGGCACCGTGCACTTCTGTGCTCCAGAACAAACCATCACACACATTGGGAGAACCAATGCTGATCACGCTGCTGTTTGTGAAGAGCACGAAAATCACAAGCATATTCATATGCAAAACTCTCAAAGTGTTTCCCTTCRAATACTGCAAACACATGCATTTCGGAAAATGTGTGTGTTTCCTCTTGCCTGACCCTGGTATGTTGTGATCCAGGGATCCCCCATAACCTGCAGATAACGCTGAAACCACTGCGTCAGACCAGTTCCCTGGGCAGCCTGACGAGCTGGATGAGCTCTGCTGGCTCTAATTACACCTCTCAGAGCCCATGCAACAGTTAAATGAGGCAACCTACAAACTTTGTGAAAGACCTTGCGCACAGATGCACTTGAGCTTTCTAAGCTACGGAGGCACTGGAGAGCAGAACTGTGTGTTCCCAGTGCTCCAGTGCAAGCAGCCTTGACACACACCTTCCACAACCGAGGACTCATAGGAGCGGGGAATGAAAACGAGCAGGAATCTCTGAAGCAGACCACTGAGATTAGCATACATGAAAGAAACTGGATAAGGCTATAAACTCTAACTTACCAAGCCTAAACATGCCCAAAGCCTACATTTTCATCATTAACACCAAGACGARTAATACATCTTTTATGGCTATCTCAAAAGTTACAAATTAATCACAAGCAGAAGTTTTAAGAGTAGAATACATTTAAGACACTAAACTATGAAAACCATACAATTACAAACTAAGGCAAAACAACTACAGAACTGAATATGAAGTGTAAAGATATTTTTAGTTACAAATCCCTTACTACAGGTAAAAACCCCTCTATGCAATATTTGCTATTACATTATCTTTATTTGCACATGATAGGAATAAGTCTCCAAGCAACAGGGACAAACTAAGGCACACTATGGTATAATTTTCAAGAGTATTAGTTCCTTTAATTCCAATTATTAAAAACACTGTACGTATTACAAAAAATTTAGCCAAGAGAAGACATGTATAGTGAAAAACTATCTTAAGCTTTCCTAGTTCTAGATCAAGAAAATGTGTTCTTGATAACATCAGAAGGCACCGACCTGTTGATKAAAGTATTCTCAACACTGTTCTGGGGAAGGGGACATACACAGGCTACCGAGACCTCTCTCGGGACAAGACTTAACAGCTCGTACAAGCCCACCTTTAAATAGTGCGCATAGGCAATTTACACGACGCTACCTTTCCCCTTGCAGGTTTTACTCCCCGGCAAGCACGCAGACCAGACGCCCTTCCAGGAGTACGGCCCGCTGGAGGCAGATCTGCCCGTCATGGGGCGCGGAGSAGCTCATGGCGTGTCCGCGCAGCACAGAGGGGCTCGGGGCGCGGGGGGCGCAGGCCGGGCAGTGTCCGCGGCGAAAACCCCCCCGAGCCCCGGCGGGCCCCGCGCCGCTCCTCGATGTCACCGGCCCGGGCGGGGCCCACCGCCCCCATGTGCGGCCGCGCTCCGGCCCCGCGCCCCAAAATGGTTCCCCGAGCTTCCCCGGCACTGCCGGCCCGGGACGGCCCCGCCCCGCCCCGCCCCGCCCGCCTCCGGGGCAGTGCCCAGCCCGGCCCCGCCCTTCCCGCGGAACCGGGAACCGCCCCGCCCCACCGTAGCACCGGGATCCGGCCCCGCCCGCCCGGCACTGCCGTCCCACGTGTCTCCAGGGCCGCCCGCCCGCTCCGCACATGCGGCGCCCTCCGCGGGCCCGGAGACCGGCGGAGCAGCTGCCCGTGCCTCGCACGTGTGCCCGGTGAAAGCCCTGTGCTTCTCCCTCAAGAACTGCTTTTAAAAACCTAGACATTCCATTCAAAACTCCTCTAATACATGAGATTCACTTCCTGCTAKTTCGAGAATATCCCTCATCTGAGCATTTCTCACTGTGGATCTGTAAAGTCCCATTCAACAGGAATTTTCTCCATTTGTATAAAGATTATTCAGTTAAGCAAAAGCATAATCTCCCGGAAAAGAAACGCCCAACAGAACTAGAACAATGTCGTGTATCTGATTATCTATTTGGACTATTAAAAAAAATAAGAACAGTTAAAGGATAAAGCAGCTGGACACCAAGTCAACACGCTTGCATGATACACACCTCAGGAAAATTTAGACATTATGGAACACTGATGTAATGATGATCAGATCACAGAAGTACAAATTTCAGTGGAGGCAAAAGAACAACACACTGCGGTAAACTTGTGGTCACATAAAACGTAAGGCTACAGTATCTGAGTAAAGAAAATTATCTTTCAAAACGCTTTCATACTATTTGAAATCCACTTTTCAGGGAGTAYTTGTATCAGCACTGTAATACATACAAATAATGGCCAACCACTATAAACAAAAACTGCCCCTTCAATACAAGGCTTCCTTCAGTCTYGCCCCCAAATGTCCAATATTACAGCATCCCACCAGGTAAGAACCAAGAAAGTTTTCAAGCAGAACAGAAAACYTGAAGAAAAACAAAACCAGCTTTTGAGAAACTTAAGAGCATGTTCTGAAGTGTGTGAAGCACRCCAKAGGCTCTCCCTCCTGTGGCAGTGTTGTCCCCARAGCACACTCGCCTGCCTTTGGACRGGTTATAGCTACTGCTGCACACGTRCTTTGCACTGAGGAGGATGCACAATGCCTCAAGGAGCAGCTTTGGGACCCTGGACACGGAACCAAAATACTGTGAGAATGGGAAGACACAACCAAACCGCTGTTTTAAAAGCTCTGCTGAGGGGCAGGTACTTGGAAAGCAGTTTYAAGAAGTTGGAAAAGATGGTGTACCTCATGTGCCAGGGAGTTAACAACAGTAAATAGACTAGACTGATACTTTTTCARCTTCTCACCTTTCCAAGGTGTTAGCTCCAGACACATTCTAGAAATCACATTTGTGCTTCACTGGAATACAAACAGGGCACCTTTGACAATTTCAGCTTAGCACCATCCACTTTTCTCTTATCACATATTCTCTCTTATCTTCATCCATATAAAATAGATGAGAGTTTAAGGTTTTAGTTTGCTTTTGAAAGGGTAACTGAGTATTAGCTTTGGGGGAAAAAACCCACAAAAATTCTGTATAGTAATCTTAATGCCTAGAAGTAAAAAAGTCTYTTGTAAGAGTGATACGAGGACAAGAAAAAAATTATCACAAATGTGTGCATGTGATGCAATATTTTTTTTATAACATTTCAAAATTGAATTTAGGGACTTGCATTCAAAATGCACTCTTAATGAATTACAGCCACCAGGAAAAAAAAAAACCMCAAACTTTTATCTTTTTCAATTGTACAGTCAAATTTGAAAATCAGACATTTTTACACACAGTACTGTTAGARAGCACTGGAAATGAGAACAGGATGAAGTTGTGAAAAACACTGACAAGCTACTTTTTTCAAGATGTGATACAAGCCAAAGCATGTCAAAACCCAAMAGCTAAATGAATTGTTGAAATACTCATTAAACGTTAAAATATAACAGAGAAAAGCTTGCAAGTATTTTAAAAGAAGTCAGTGTTTCTCATTTCTATTGAATCTGAAAGACATTTTARGGCCCAAGTTTTTTGCCTTTTGCAGTCTATCCGTTTCTCTCTCCCAGCTCTCAGGAGATGCAGGAGTGCAAGGGCCTGGCATGATTAGGATCAAATGCAGGYCTGGACAACATGTGCACCCCTGCTCAGACACAGCCTCTGGACCTGCTGGCCTACTTCAGAATTTTTAGAAGACAATTATGACATAAATTTTTAAACAACTATATAATACAATTTAGTCTCTATAGACTCTGTTTTTGACTAATGAATTACAATTTTTTTGAATCCTTCCAGACACTGTTTTCTTTGGTGCTSTTAACTATGCTATTTGTTATTTCAGACACCTCAGGGCTTCTCTTTTCCTGCAAAACAAGCAAAAGCTGATCAATCCAATGTAACAGAATATTATAAAATGAGACCAATATAAATACATAAAATAGAGGCAAGACTCATGATGATTTCCTTTGCCAAAATGTTATCTGTCCAGTTCATCTCTTTTTCATAATTAGTGCATTTCCCACTACCTTGCGGTGACCCAGTCCGCCCAAAATTGCAGGTAGTTTTTTCTCTTTGCACCTCACATTCCCTACCAACCCCATTTTCCAAGCACCAGGCAAGAAAATCCCAATGGATTTATATAACCATGGAATTGCCTTTGTGGCCACCACTGCCCTGAGCCCCAGCCCYTGACGCCCCATGTTTCTGATGTGTCTCATACATGTTTCCTCATGCCCCACACAGTCACYGATGGAGCCATGGCAGTGCCAAGCCCGATCTTCTCCAAGTTCAACACACATGATGTGGCAGATGCAGACAAACACAGCCATGTAAACACCAACAGTATTGTTACACCCACCAAATCAATGACCTTTTTGTAACTCAATGCAGAAATTTGAGTTTGGCCCGTCCTGTTTTACTTCTGTCTCATCACTATCACTATTTCTCCTGTGGAGATACACCATAATATTCAACATCAACCTAACTTTATTTCCAACAACTTTATAATGTCAAATTAAGAAGAGCGCCCTATAGAAGATACACAACAACCACATCAAAATCACATTAGTAATCAACTACTGTGACTGAAGCATTCAATTTTAAATGCAACAAAGAACTTCATCAATTACAACAAGTGAATATTCTGTACTCCAGTCACACAGAACTTCAACGTCCAACTCTGCACAGAATGCTGGACACCATGCTGCTATAGTACTCCAGCCTAGTGAAAGAAGACAAGCTGAGGAACAAAGCACTCAGAAAATACCTGATAAACCTCCAAATTTCAGTCASAATGAAAACTAAAAATGTCTGAGCAATAGCCAAAACCCGAGTTTGGACCACTCACTCTGTACTATATAGCTGCAGAATACGCCAGCTTTCACATCTCATATATAGAATTAAATAAGAAAACAGGTTTCCTTGTAAATTCAGACCACCTACAAATTATAAAGCAAAACAGGACATTTATCCCTCCTGTCTTTTGAACTTGGAAGGAAAGGAAGGAGGTCAGAAAGCAAAAACTACAGGAACTATCAAGGAATTCCTGAAAATTTAAAGTATATTAAAACAAACTAATCAAATGGCACTGTGAGAAAAAGAAAATGCAGTAGTACATTAAATAAATTGGTATAAGGAACAAAATTTAAATTACTAATATTTGATAATCTAATGTAATAAAAGGGAGTTAAGCCACAAACTTGCTAGTGAAACTATACACAGCGTAACAAAAATACAGAGAAAAATCASTCTTTAAATACAAATCAAAACAAACACTTGCATTAAAAAGATCATGGATCTTTTTAAGATCCAGAACCACTTCCAAATTTGACTTGACCCTAATTTTCCRTTCTAAAAACAAGCAAATAACTTATCTTGCTGTGACACTAACAAATCCCAACTACCAGAGAAGGTGTGAAGATGGTGATAAAGAAACACTGCTCCAGGCTGTATCCTGCACACTCCTGCACTGCACCTGGTGGTGCTGTCTAACAAAAGTCTTCTCTTCCCTCTCTTCCCMAGCTCCATATCCCCAGAGCCAGGATCAGCAGGCAGCCAATGGCCAGAGCCCTCCTTGCCACAGGACACCTAGACCTTCTCCACATGGACCCTACTGCACCATAAAGGATGGAATGGACCCAAACCAGCACCAATCCCCCAGGAGCCTTCTGAGAGCCTGCCTGTCTGCAGCCTGCTGTGCTCTGGGCACAGGTCTCAAAATTAAGATGGCAGAAACCAYAGAATCTAAGAAAATAAAGAAAACRTGGTATGAAAATACAGGTAACTCTATGCAAACTAAGTAACAGGGAAAACATTTTTATTTTATAATATCTAGTGTCTGTTCACTGTGCACAGAGCACCCTGAACTGAGCCGCATCAGAATCATCCTCCAAYAATAATTATGCCCAATATTTATAAACACAGGGAGACAGCTACCTTTTTTTTTAAGTTCTAGACATTCAGTGCTGTATAAAAAAAWTAAGGCAGGCATACAGAAGGATCAGCTACAGAGTGAATTAGTAACAGCAGCAAAAAAGAGAAAAGCCAGTTATTTTTCATGCTCTAACACATACTGCCATTCAGAAGTATCTAAACAGGAAGCACTCAATTGTTCTACAAGGTTTCATAGATAGGCTCAGTACACAATTAGACTCTATTAGAATTTCTTAAAAAAAGAACCTAAACCCCTCTGCAAACATTAACAGCAAATCCTACCAAGTGTGACAACCTGGGGGCTGTGTTTCTTTCCTCAGTCTGATTTTGCAAACCTATGCTCTTCAGTGCATGCTGTAATTGCCACGCAATATTGCATCACCGTTCCTGTGTCTGTGGCAGACACGGGGAGGAGGGTGTGGCATGGAAGCACCTACCTTAATTCAGCAAGGCTCAACTAAAAGAACTACCTGTTCTTTGATGTGTCTTCACTTAYAAAGTCTTTCTGTGATAACTATTCCAATTCAAATTCAAGACCTACTTTATGT